GCAACACCAGGAAGCAGATGGTGAGGGCCCTTACAGCAGATTTGGCCAGGACAACGCACCTACCCTGGACACAGCGTCGGGACCCAGCACCCGGGATTCCTTGTCTGTTGTTCCTCATACAGTGTGTACTCACCCAATGAAAGGTTTCTGTTTGTTTGTTTGCTTTAAAGCACTAAGGCTAGGGACTTCCCTGGTGGTCCAGTGGTTAGCACTCCATGGTTCCACTGCTGAGAGTCTGTGTTCGATCCCTGGTCAGGACACAAAGATCCCACAAGCCTTGCGGTGCAGCAAAAACAAAATTAAATAGAATAAAAAATAAAATACTAAGGCTAAAGAATGAATACTAAAGCACATGAAAGAGATGCAAGCCCTGGAAAGAGGACAGGGGACATAATGGAGTAAGAGGCGGGGAAAGGGGCCGGTGGTTGGTCTCTCCTTGTGGTCCAGTGGCTAAGGTTCCTGACTCCCAACATAGGGGGCCCGGGTTTGATTCCTGGTCAGGGAACTAGATCCTGAATGTCACAACTAAGACCTAGTACAACCAATTAAATAGATAAATGTTTTAAAAAAAGAGAGAGAGGCAGACGGGCACTGGTTTCATCCACCTCTGCCTTCCCCCGGCCTCCATCACAGCACCCGACATGAGACAGTCAGGAAAGAAATGGACTAAGGCCAGAGAAGCAGGCTCAGGTCGCGATGCTTGAAAGGATGTGAAGGGCAGAGTGTGAGAGGAAGAGCAGCTGAGCGCTCACAGAACCGGGCTCGCACCCCCACACTGGGTCCCCGGCACCGTGAGGGCGGGCGCTGTGAGCCCCATCAAAACTCAACAGGCACCAGGGAGGAAGTGGGTCCCATCCTGGTTCCACCACTTACGAGCCCGCCTACTCTGTGCTCCTCCACGTCACCCCCTCATTCTGCCTGTGGCTCACCCAGCGCCTTTCACCTCACGGTCTCTAATGAAGGCCAAAGAAGCAGAGAAGAAAACACTTTCCACAAACCGGACGTAGGCTGATGTGCAGATATGGCAACATTTATTTGAAATCTACACAGAGGGAGGCCATGAAGTCAAGTGGGAAAAACCACAAGTTCTGAGGCCACAGAGGTCTGGGTTCAAATCCTGCCCAAATCTTTACTTGCCTGAGGCAAGTTACCCAGCCTCCCTGGGCTTCCTTCTCTTTATCCATCAAATGGGGCCCATTTACCCATCTCAGAAAGCTATTAGGAATGGCAGCGCTCTTAGCACAGGGCCTACCACACAGAAGGTGCTTAATTAATGAGGCTACTGTGGATAAATCACATAGTTCAGACTAAAAGAACTACAGAGGCACAGATTCTACAGAGACACAGTACAGATTCAGCAAGCTGCAACTCATCACATGTGGGGAGCTGGAAGTGAGGGGGCCTCACACACCCAAGTCCGCAACAGCTCATGCAATAGCACTATCATCTAGAACTGGGGTCTTTCCCATGCAAAAAAACACATGAAAATAAAGTAGACTATACAGGAACCCATACATCAACCATAAGGGACAAGTGTGAAATCAGAAAGTCTGAACCACAACTTTAAAAAACTGAAGCAACCAAAATTAGTTAATTAATTTTCACTAACTCTCCTGATGACACCAAAGTCTGCTTCTGAAATGTGCATCTCATTCATTCACTCCACAAACACTGGCTCCAGGTTCTGTGTCAGGCACTGGGGCATGGTGGAAAGGGACAGATGATCCCCTCCCAAAAGAAGCTCACAATCTGGACGAGGAGGAGAAGAAAGGAAAGGAACAGACTGGCAGGGAAGCACCAGGGAGTTAGGTGAGGAATAAAGATAGTAGCACAAGGAGCAAAAAGTTGACGGTGGGAAGAGGCCACCGCTTGAGTTCCCAGGCCTCTGCCAACGGCCTCTGCGTTCACTGAATGACATCGCCAAGAAGGACTGCTTCCATGAACCAGCCTGGGGGTGGCGGGTCGGGGGGGAGGGGTGGTTCTTTTCATAGTTCCTAGCTGAAAAGTCAATTAAAAATAAATAAAGCCACCACTTATTGAGTGCTTACTACATATAAGCACTCTGCTGACTGCTTTACAAACAAATATATTTAGCTCCTGCTTGTTCATTTATTCACCCCTCCACCTGTTTGTGAATACAGACACTAATGTATGAAACTCTCACTTGTTCACTTATTCGTCTATCCATTCATTGATGAACAAACACACCATCTTCTACGCCTGGGCCACTGGGGATGAATGGGAGATCAGGTCCTTGTATTCGTTGGGAGGGCAGAACAGGGCACAGAGCCCCACATGTGCTGAGGGTTAGAAAAGCCCTCTGGAGTTTCCAGTGGGGTGCTGGCTGGTCAAGCCTGGGACACAGGGACCGTTTCTCTAAGGGAGAGACACTCGGGCTTTCCTGAGACTGAAGGTGGGAGAGCAGATGGTGTAAAAGACCCTGGGGACGGGGAAGTGCGTTCCAGGCAGGAGGAGCACTGACGAGGAGACACAGTCTGGACGGAGGAACCGAAACAGGACCTTACCAGTGGAGACTGAAGGGGGCGTGGGGAGGACCTGCGTGAAGCCGCGTGACGGGCACCCCACGCCACATGCAGCGGGAGCCACAGTCTGGCCTGAAGCACCTGGAGGGGGTACGAGTGTGATCTGATGTGTGTGTCTGCAAGGTCACTGCAACCAACGGGGAAAACGGGAGGAATGGAGAAGGCGCAGAGTCAGAAAAGAAGTCCCAGTGGGACGCTGAGAAACAGCGACACTTAACCCACCTTACAGACGGGAGAAGCAGGGCCGAGGGGGTGGGGGACTAACCTAGGAAGTCCGGGGCTGCGGGCCAGGAGGGAACAATGGTCAGGGTGCTGGGGACCAGGCAGGAGGACAGGGCCCTGGGGCTTCGGGGCACAGAGGTCAGGGACCGCAGCTGAAGCAGAGGGCGACGGCGAGGGTGATGCATGCAGGCTCCTAGGACTTGCAAAGGGAAGGAATCACTGGGAGCAAAGGGCGCTGAGATCAGGAGTCCTTCTGAAAAGGTGGAAAGGGTTTGGCAGGTTTTCGGGGTGCTGGAAAGAAGCTGCGGGTAGGCCTGAGGATATGGGTCCATGTGAGGCCTGGAGAGGAGGTGGGGCCCAGAGCATGTGTGGGGGCCCCACTTCCAAGTGGAGGGAGCAGTGGGTTAGAGCTTTATGAAGCCAGGGTAGGAAGCCCCACCTGGAAGCTGGCGGCTTAACTGGGTGGAGGGAGGGGGTCTCCCTGAGCACCCCTGGGGCTGAGGCAGGGAGGACAGAGGGGCAGGAAAGGCTGTGGCGCTGGGACAAGCGTCCAACCGGAGACAGTGGCCTTCTGTGCAGAGTGACCAATTCTCCCATGCTCTTTCTGTCCTCAAAGCAACCCCGCAAGGTGGGCAGGAGCTCTGTTTTCAGACACAGAAACAGAAGCTGAAAGAGGCTGAGTAACCTGCAGAGGGCCAAGAAAATGACGATTTTATGATGGAGTCAAAAAGAGCAGGTGGAGTTCCAAAAAAGTTTAGAATTGAGAGTCAGTTAGAAAGAGAGAGTTTTTTTTTTTAAGATAAAAACACTTAAAATAGGAAGTTAGGAAGCAATTCCATACTTAGCAGTCCTGACAAACTTGACAGACAGCTGAAAAAGCTAAGGTAATTTGCACCATTCTTCACATTTCTTGGGAAAAAATTAAGGTTGACGTCTCAACTACACAGGAATAATTCAAAGTAAAATCAAAGATCTCCTCCTACAATGTGCGAAATGGCAGATCCTAAATGTCAGGAACACTGAATAAATTGTACTCTAGGGAAAACTAAATAGTACATGTTTTTAGTTATACTATTTTATAACAGTGTCTTTAAGGTCTGCATCTATCACAGAGGAGTACAAATAAATAATACTCGTGGTTTACAGAGAGGTTACCATGTTCCAGATGCTGTATGAGCTCAAATCCTAATATGTTACCATACGGTCTATAAGACCCTAGTATATTAACCTTAACATTGACTCTTTCATCTCTAATCCTATCCTCTACAAGACAGCCCTATTTTGAATATGGCCAAACAAGAGACACAGGTGGGTTAAGTCCCTTGCCTGACATCACAGTGCTGAGTGGTGGTGAACAGCCAGATTTAACCCACTGCTGACACAACCTCCTCCTCCAAGGGCACCTTCAGTCTAAAGGCACACAGTGGCAGCAGGTTTTAAACTGCAACAGTATCACTAAAGCAGACCTACCTTTTCTACCCAACCCACTCTGATGCTTCCTATTGTTCCTTTTCTCCTTTTTTTAAAAATTCTGGTGTCAACTAGCACTGATTTCCTGACCCAAAGCTTGAAACAAGCCACAGCTCATTGACACCCACCATTCAAAGTGGCATTTCTGTGTGACAATGCGCTTTGTGTTCTAAAAGGTTAATCAACAAAAGGACTTTTAGGACACAACCTATTCACCAGCCAGAGTCCGTGTGTAACTGAACTGCTGGCTGGAGGCAGTGGCTGGGTGTGCAGCTGAAGTTAAGCAGGGTTCACGAGCTCTCTCTGGTGATGTTTCAGATGCCAGATGCAAGCATACACCAAATAGAAATGTCCCCGGCATACACCAGGACAATACTTTTGGACTATTGACCTTGGCAGTTTGAGCACTTTATGAAGCATTAAATCTGCCACAATATTAGCGCTATTGTGATAACACATAAATGCACCATCTTTTCTTCACGTCCCAAGACCGTGTTTACAGAAAGCCTGACAGAGCAGCACATTTTCAGATTTAAAGGTTTTCACAGTTGAAAAGCTTTAAAGTCTGTTTGTGTATAAGCCAACCAGATATACTGTGGGAGATGCTGAGCCGCAATATTTACACTTTCACTACAGGTCTCTCTGTGGCTGTTTTGATGTGGTTTTCATTTGATAAAAGAATTTACCTACACCTCGTGACTCAGCTTATTCATTAACAAAGTGAAACCCAGGAGGGAAGGCGGGGGCTCCAGGGAGAGAAAGAAAATGACAGGCCCTTAGCAGCAGGCAGGGCTGAGCTGCCTCACCTGCAGGGTGAGTCATTACCCCTGGGAGGGGGGGCATCCATCCCCCAAAGCAAAGGGGCCTCTCCCAACCCAGAAAGGAGTCGTAGAAACTCCGTATAAAGTGTACACAAGGCAATTCCGTGTATGGTTCCCGTTAACCCTTCCTTGCCGCGCTACCAGTCTGCAACCTCTCAGGGTTCTCCCAAGGGCATCGTGATGCCACTCATAAACAAGCCCTCTTCCTCATCCCGCCTTCTTCCCTTCTTCCCTTCCACCCCCCTCGCCCCCACCGCTGCAATCCACCTACAGATGTGGAACCCTCTGAAATCCCCATCAAATGTGACTTGCCTCTTCTCTGTTTTCAGGACACCCCAAGTATGACCTGTCACCACCAAAAAATTAGGAAAAAATGCCAAGACGACCTGCTCTAACACTCAGGCCAGCGGCCTCGGTGCCGTGGGCACAGAGCCCTCGCTGGGCTAAATCTCCTTGCCTGTTCACGTGCTGCCAGTCCTCGTATGCCAGCTGCCGTACTGTGCTAGAGTCCGGTCTCTATGCAGGGAGAGTCTATGCTTCACAGCAGAACGAACGGAATCTGCTCTGCAGACCACAGGCCGCCTTGGGACCATGCGATGTATTTGTTTTAACCGGCAACATCTGACTACAAGAGTGTATAGAGAACCGCGTGCTTCGCCAATGGGGAAATAAACCACAAGTGATGAAGCTAGCCTTATTTTCCACTTCAGTTTTACTCTTTGCCTTTGCTGAGACTATGTGCCCAACGACTGATAGGTTTTTCCCACTGATAGGTTCTGTCTGTAGACTACACACTAAAACCCTACAGTTCACCAAACAGCCCAAAGGGGCAGCACAAAACCCAGTGAGAATTACTTTGGTTTTAAAGTCCCATTCCAGCTTGGCATTTAACACGCTCATTCTACACTGACAGTTAAGTCGCCTGCATGTGAACCAGTTTCATTCCAAAAACGCATGTGTTAGTCCAATTTGTTCCTAAGTCCAACAAGGTTAGCCCAGGTACCCAACTAACATAATCAACTATATAATACTATACTGTAATAGGTTTATAATACTTTCACACAAATAATACATAAAAAAAAATCAAACACAAAAAAATAAACACTTTAATCTTGCAATACAGTACCTAGTACAGTACAGCAGCTGGCATATCTGGAATCGCGTGAACAGGCAAGAGGAGTTACAGACTGGAGGAGAGAGAGGAGGCAGGAGACGGAGAGCTGAAGGATCGTCAGCAGGAGCTCGAGCTGCAGTTTCACTCACGCCTGACGTAGCTGGACACGCGAATCCACGTTCAAGTCTTTGGAAAGTCTGCAACTCGAAGGTTCGCATGCAGGAGACTGACTACTTTTCTCCTTTTAAGTCACCCAACCATTTCCCTATAGACTTCAGGATTTTAGGAAGGCTAGTCCACCTCTTTTGTTTTCCTCATCCTTAAATCTGTCTTCCTGTTACGGGAGGCAGAGGTTCCTGACATCAATGGTCAGGCCTACAGGCAGCATCCGGGTCTGACAGGAAGATGCTAAGTTAACAGAAATAGGCGAAGCAGCTCAGGGTCAAACACAGACGTATACAGGAGGGCGGGGGAAGGAAGAAAAGGAGAGAGAAGAGAGGAAGGGGATGGGGAGAGCACTCCTGCCTGAGAGCCAGCCAGACGGAGCTTCTCCCATTTGGTGAGGAACTGCTTTCTGAAACTGGCAACTTGCAAATTCAGAGAAATCACAAGTTCTTTATGACACTTGCATATTTAAAGTGAAGCTGTTAGTCGCTCAGTCATGTGTAACTCTCTGCGACCCCATGGACTACAGCCCACCAGGCTCCTCTGTCCATGGACTTCTCCAGGCAAGAATACTGGAGTGGGTAACCATTTCCTTGTCCAGGGATCGAACCCAGGTCTCCTGCATTGCTGGCAGATTCTTTACTGTCTGAGCCACCAGGGGAGCCCCTCCTGAACATTTAAAAAAACTGTGAAATTCTTTGCCAGCAGGAGAGTAAAGAAGGCTTTTTTTTTTTTTTAATAATGTGATATTGGCATTGGTTAGCTTTCCTGTCTCAAGTTATTAAGATCTCTACATTATTCTGAACAATCATTTTGTTTTCTATATCCTAAGGAGATGTAAATGTAGAACTTTTTGTGTGTTTGGACACCCAATGGAAAATCAACTGGTTAGAAAAAGAGTCGAGTGCTACATTTTAAAGCACTTATGTGAAAAAAAAAAAAAACAACAACAACGAATACAGTGGCAACTGTGATACTGCTAAGTTTTAAAGTATTCTGGAATATTTTATGACATTACACCTTAAAATTTCCAATGGCCCAAGAGTTTCCGGCAATGTCAAAATGCTTAACACAAATTAGGAAATTGAAAAACAACAGTTTGCAAGGCCTGTATTGGTAGAGTGGAACACAGACTGCTTTCTGACTGATAATGGAGCGTTCATGGACTTTAAAGTGCTCTCTACATTAATTTTTCCCTAGGAAAATATTTATCACCCTTTAAATTACAGCTCTGCAGGCCCACATCTACTGCCTCTATGTAAGTAAAGTTTCATTTTAAAGCATGTAAACCTAAGTGTCATGAATGAATTTACTTATCCTGCCTCTGCACAGCATTACACTATGATTTCGATGAAGAAAAAATATGAGGATCTGATGGCAACTTGCATGGGACAGAGCTGCAAAGCTCCACAAACCATGGTTCTGCGGTTCACTCACAGACGGCTCCCTCTCTAGGTCAGGGGAGGGAGCAGTTAGAGGCCTTCACCAACAGGAAACACACAAACCACGCTTGCTTCCACGGCTTCAACTGGATTCTTCTGTCAAAACCAAATCAAGCCGCCAATTAAAATAATTAATTATTTTAATGCAAAAAAAAAAAAAAAACCCAGCACAGAGGTGCATCGCTACATATAACAGGGTGAAACAGTCCACAAGACTGACTCACAAAAGAAGTCACTCTGACTAATGTACAAAGGAACATGTTTTCAGTAACAAATCCCCCTTGGGACTTGATTTGGGAGTCAAACTGTCCAGCTTCTACCTTTAAATGATAGATAAGAACAGAAGAGTGAGTGGATATTAAGATGCAGGCAGGGATGGGGAAAAAGAAAGGAGAAAGTCGCCTTGCGGAGCCAAGTTTATCTCCTACTCCATCCCGAGTAGTCAGCCAAGAGCTGATAGAGGGCTTTTTGGTAAAGTAGGTAGAAAAAAAATCCCCACCAGCTCCCGGGTTGCCAGGCAACCTGCCACATTTTATTAAAGCGGGAGCGGTGAGGATCCCCAGAGGGCGGCCGGAATGCTGCGTCATGCCTTCTCCCAAGCTCCAGGCACACACTCGCCCCACAAGCCGCCCGGGGGGTGGGGGTGGGGAGTGGGGGGGGGAACTGGACATACACGATAGGGAGCAGCTACCCGAGTGTGGCCAGAAAGTCACGGACGGGGCACAAACCCCACACAATCGAGCAGCCATTCTTCTCCAGCTCAGACCAGAACGCAGCAGGGGTCACTGCTGTTGCCACAAAGAGCACAGGCAGACCCTGTACTTGGTTCTCTGCAAGCCTGGACTAAATGCCGTTGGGATTTTTCTTTCTTTTTTTTTTTTTTGCAGCTTGTGGGATCTTAGTTTCCTGACCAGCGACTGAAGCCGAGCCATGGCAGTAAATGCACCAAGTCCCAGCCACTGGACTGCGAGGGAACTCTCTGTTGGGATTATTTAAATTAAAAAAGAAAAAAATTTTTAAGTGATTCATGGTTGAAGCAGCACGAAGGCACAGTGCAACGAGTGAGCATATGCGCCCTGGGGATGCAAAGTCCTACCACGGGGCCCCCACTTCTCTCTGGGCAGCTGCTTCCTTGTTCTGGAGCCAAGGTGCTGCCCACGGGTCATTTCAGGGAAAGCAGTTCGTACGGTGGAGTTGCAACAGTGTGTACCCAACAGTGTGTACACCTGGAGCAGACAGGCAGGGAGGCTAAAGGTGAAAACCACGTTTAGTCGAAGTTACCCTTGAAAATTCCCTTTGGAGGTGTCACAGCAGCATCAAGATGTGGCTGTTTTCCCCTCCAGGGTCAGAGCGCCCCACTGTTTCACCTCTTGCACACCCGGGGGAAGGGATGGCTGGCGCATGAGGACAAGGTTACTGAACACACATGCAGGTGAGCGCACTTAATCTCTAATCGGCAGGAGTCTACCTTCCAGGCAGAACGTGGGAATGGATATTCTCGTGGGAGAAGCAGATTCCTGCCTCATCTCATCTCTGACTCACTCACATTCCCTGAGTGGTGGTGGCTGTCGTTCAGCTGCTCAGTCATGTCTGACTCTTTGGGACCCCACGGGCTGCAGGCTTCCTTGTCCGAGTTTGCTCAAACTCATGTCACTGAGTGGAGTGACAAGCAAAACCAGTCTCACTACTGAGAAAAACAATTTCCCCAACAAGTACTTTTGAATTCATACAAGCTGAAGTATCTTATGCTGCTTCTCTAGCTGGGACTGAGTGAATTCGCACTCCAGGCCATTGTGCCCGTCCTCTGGGCGCAGAGCCCCCAGCAAGTCCTTCCGGACAAGCGGCGTGCTGCAGACACTTTATGTCTCCGGCGGTGTATCTCCAGGAGAGGGCATCTAACACAGCTATTTCTCCCTGCTCCCAGGAGCCCTGGGCTGGCAATGACTGCCAGTCACTGAATAACCATGACTACCCAAGACTGGAGAGCAGGGAGGGAAAGTTCAATAATTGATCTGGTCATTTAAAACGCTTTAATATTAAAATAAAATGGATGCATTATAGAGTGGGATTTTTCAAATGTGTGAGGATGGCTTAAATAAAACTGCAGAGAAATGCCAACTTGCATTGCCCGCCCCCACCCCCACACCTGGGCATCCCGTCTGCCCTCCTTTGGAGTCAGGGGTACTTAGTGGAGTTTAAGAGTTGCCCCCTACTGCACAGACCCTTTGTGATAAATAGTAACTGAAAGAACGACCCACTCTTTCTAGTGGAGCAAGAGCACCAAAAGGGAGGAGACCCCGGCCTCCTCTTCCTGGCAGCCAGGTGGTAAAGGTCATGTCCATGTGCAGTGGTTTACACAAGACAATTGCACTCAATGCACACAGGAACCTCATGGAGCTGTTGGTTTTTTGTGGACAGGAGCAATCCTGGAAAGAGCTGACCAGTGTGAGGAAAGGGTAATGCCGTATCTCCTTTCTCCAGCAAAGGTGACAGCAATGTCAGTACCATGTAACAAGGAAAGACGAGGTAGCCTCAGCTCAGAGGGCGTGCTCTCACAGGTCCGGTCAATCTGTCTCAGAAGGCTGATGATACTCCTCGATCCCTGCACCCTGTGGTCACAATGGGACGGTGGGAATCCTGTCCTGTAAGCTCACAGCCTGACCCTCATTCACCAGACAAGTATTTCGAGGCCAAAGTGAAGTTATCGCCTCGCATCTGTCAGCTCATTACCAAGTGATCTGGACCAGGGACTGGGTGAGCTTGGAGCAGGGACCACCTGCCCTAGAGCTGCACTTACTACCTCCTGAGACTACATCTCATGTGACACCCCCATAGGCTCTGCTACCATCACGATCTAGAGAAAATGGCAATCTGTTGAATGACTTGCCCCAATTCCTGCAGCTGGTGTAGGGAGGGAAGCTGGCATTCAGACCCAAGGCATCTCCAACACCCTACGAACCAGGAAGAACG